CCCCCCTCCCCCCCGCTCAACACGCCACCCAGGCCAAGCGCAACGTGGAGAGCGGCAAGGTGCTCCGCGCCAACGAGGCGCTCGCCTCTGCGCGGTCTGCATCTGACCGCAAGGACGAGGAGCTGCGCGCGGCGCAGGTGGGGTGCTGCTACGTTTTGGGCGGCTGTGAGAGCGAGCCGTGTCTGCCTGCAGGAGTTTGGCACGCCCGCTTGGGCTCGTATGCCGCGCGCATGCAGTCGCGCCGACGGCGATATAGTGAAGGCTGCAGCCAGCCGCAGAGCTGATGCTCACTCGGCAGGTGCGTGTGCGGTTTGGTCGCAGGAAGCGCTGGCGAGCCACAGGCGCGAGGCGGCGGCGCAGGCGGCGGCGAGGGAGGTGCTGGAGAGGGAGGCGCGGGACCTGCGGGTGAGGCGGGTGCTTCAAAATTCGCGGGCATCAGGGGCTGGTTGGATGTCCAACGGCAAGCGCTCTACCTGCAGGGGCCGCTCTTGACGGGTGTCATATGGGGTGATGGCGTGGGGAATGCCAACATGAACACCATGTGGGGCCCAGCACTGCAGCACTGGTCTTAGCCCGCCCGCCTGCACGCCCGCAACAGGCCCAGCTTGAGGCGTCGCAGAGGCAGCTGGCGCTCCTGTCCCGCCAGCCGCCGCAGCAGCAGCAGCAGCAGCAGCAGCAGCTGCCAGCGCCGCTCCGCTCGCCCCTGCAGGCGGCCGCGACCACGCCCACCTCTGCCGGCAACAAAGTGCCGCGGCTGCCCCTCGACCGCTGCCCTTCCCGCGACCAAGACGCAGCCGATTCGCCCGCGCGCGCTGCAGCGTCGTACAGAGCCAGCACCGGCGCCGCGCACTTCTCGCCCGCGCTCACGCCGCCGAGCAGCGCGAAGGGTGCAGGCCGCGCCGCCCGTGCGCACACGGCCTCCCGCCACGCGGCCTCCCTCGGCGCCGACACCGGCACGCCGGTGGCCGGCAGTGGCTGGGGCGCCGCCGCGTGCGGGGCGGGCGCAGGCAGCGGCGGCGTGCTGACGCCGCGCGAGCGCGAGTCGGGCATGGCTACGGCGCGGTCTACGGCGAGCACCTGCTCCCTAGGCGCCGTGACGCCCGCGCCGCATGGCACGGCGCCCGCGGCCCGCGGTTCGTCGTCTGCGCAGCGCCACGCCGACCGCCTTCAGTCGGCGCGCCTAAGGGCCGCGGGCGTCTTCTCGTCGCCGGCGGCGGCGCCGGGCGCGGCGGGGTCGCCGACGGCGGCGCTCGCCGGGTTCAAGGAGGCGGGCGTGGCGGGCGCGGCGCGGCAGCTGACGGGGGCGGCGAACCGGGGGAGCGCGGGGGGCAAGCCGGCGCGTCTCGGGTCGACTGCGCCCGCAGTGTCAGAATCCGTGAGGTGCGCTGGGATGATCCCCCAAACCTGGCCCCGCCGCGCGCTGGTCGAAATGGCGCCGCGAGCGTTGCAGCTTGCAGGGCGCTGACTCACACTCAGACCTGTTGTTAGCTGGGTTTGTGTTTGCCGTCACCCTCAAGTCTCACCTTTCAACCCATCATCAACTTCCATTACAGGGCCACTTCCAGGAGGGCCCCAAGCGCCTGCGAAGTGACACCGCGGGTGCCCCTGACGGCACGCGTCGGCAACGTCGCCCGCAGCGCCGCGGCGCCGGCGCGGGGCTCGCTGTCGGCGCGGCCCAGCGGCAGCACCTGGGCTTCGAAGTCCGTCTCGGCGGCGGCGCTCATGGCGCCGGCGGGGGCGTCTGCTGCAGGCGCATCGCTGCGCGCCAACGGCACCAGGAAAGGGATTGGCGCAGGGACGGCGTTCCGGGGATAGGCGCGAAAAGAAATGCGGCTCGGCAAGTCCCGCGGCTGCTTCGTCGCCGCAGACCCCGGCGGCGCTGGAAGCCGCGTGTTTGTGGGTTGAGGTGGGCGTTTGTGTTGAGAATTGAGCAGTATAGACCTTCTTCGTTGGCCCTGCAGACCCAGCCAGAACGTGCTCAGTTGGTGGCACCAGCGACGCCACCAATGCAACGCGGCAACATTGCTTCTTGCCCTCTCGTCTCTGAAGGGGCTGTGTTGCTCCTGCAGCCGCAAGCCCCCCCCCCCACGTGCTGCCCTTTTCACACCCTTTTCACACCCCTGCGTCACCTTCCGTGCAAGGGCGGGGGCACAGTGGGCGCGTGCACTGGGCCTGCCTCTTCGAAGGCGACGCCAGCAGCATGTCTGCGCACCCTTCACCCGCCCCTTGGACTTTGGGAGGGGTGCGCGCGCAACGGAGCATGCGGCACTCGTGATTGTCTTTTCACGGCCGACCACTCAATTATCCAGCGACGCGTCGCAGCTGCCCTTGCCACGTGTACACATCCACACGGCAGCCTCGGACGGGTTGTGTTTCTGGCGGGGCAGCACCACATGGGTGTGCTTGGGTGTGAGACGGCCGGGCCCTGTGTTCCCTGTCTGCCCTGGGTGGCCGGGCTTGCCCTTGTTCGCACTATGGTACCAACCTATGCGTGGCCGGCTCGTTTGCGGGCTCGGTCCATCAGTGGTATCGCGAGCAGTGCGTATCGACGGAGGCTGCTGCGGCGCGGAGGCCGCCGGCGGCTGTCCTAGTTTGGGGGAGCAGTGTAAAAGAACCCTAGCATGCGGCGTGGCTGCGAGCATATGCGTGTGTCAAAATATTGCAGCTTTGCGTGGAGCCAAGGTGCCGCGCGCAACAAGCCGCCACAACCTCCTGCGTTCCACCTCAGCTGGATCGACCACACGGGGCGTGACCGGCGACTAACCGTGGAATCGGTGCCAGAAGATCCAGCCGGCCGACCTCCGGCCGACCTCTGGGGCGTGCGCCGCCACGCAGGAGCACCACACTCCCGTCCGCGTGCACATATGCATGCGGCTGAACGGCGCAGCACTGGCAGGACGGCACACATCAGCAGAATCCATGCCTCCCATGGCTGACAACCTTCTCGTCCTGTTACACCCGCTTCACTGTGGTGGCTGGCCCATGGCTGCCTTGCATCCCCGGGCATGCAGCTCGCAAAGATTGAAGCGTTTCACACTGGAGCAAGCCTTTAGACCGTGGAGAACTCGTGTCGAAACCTGGTTTGGGTGTTGACGTGTCGGCCGCCCACCCCTGATGGAAGGTTACCACCTTGCCTGTATGGAAGCCGCCCGCATGCCACTCACGGGCCGCCGCCGGACAATTTCTGATGTAAATTCTCCGCTTATTTCATTGCAGGCGTATTTTTCCAGGATCGGCAACTCACTGCGCCTCCTCTCTGACCGCCAGTCTCCCCGCACGCCACGACAAGCGAACCTGCGCGCTTCACAAGAGTTTGCGCCGCGCGACCACAATCATTGGTAGATTTCGAAATCCAGTTCGTTGCTTCACACGAGGCACGGGCGTGTTGCTCCCCTGTCTGACCAGGGCTTGCACAAATCTCATCCTCACAGCCCACGCCACCTGCAGCCTCCTTTTGGCGTGCAGCGACCTCGATCACTCATTTATCAGAGGTGATTCGGTAGCAAGCATGGCGTTGCTCCTCGCGGCCACCTTCGCCGTCCTGTTCAGCGTGGCGTCCGCTCTGCCCCCGGTGAGAGAGCGCTTTTAGAGCCTGATACACTCAGTCGCCGGGTGGTGGCGCCGTCCCTCGGTGATTAACGTACCTCATCAAATGGTGGCCGGGTCACCGGGGATCACTGCGGACGTCCAGAGTCGCTGCTCACAATCAGGGGTGACTAGCCTGGCCAAGCGCCTCAGCAGCAATATTCATAAGTAGATCCGCGGGTGTCAGCGGGCCCGGTAGACCAGGCAGCGAGCTTGACCGCATGTACGCGCAGGGCGCAAGGCGGCGTGAATCAGAGGTTGCAGCGCGCGACCCACAGCGGCAGTTTTTCCTTTGTACATAATGATCAGTGTACAGAACGAAAACACACCCTCGCTGATTTTTTCGTCTGTCCTGGCTCAACCGGAGCACCAACCTCATTTTGATACTGGGCCCCTTCTAAATGACCCCTCCACCGACGGAGTGTGCACCCAGCTGCAGACAAGAACCATCCCCTGAATCTCACAGCGACATTCCCTGTTCCCGCTGTTGTCTACGCAGGGCTACAGCCACTGGCAAAACGGCAGGGCAACTTTCTACGGTGCGTGCCGTGGGGGTGATTGTGCAGGCGCGCAATATGGCCCCATCCCCACCCCAACGTGCCACAGGGACACTAGAACTCCTCCAATCCACTGACCCCTGATGCTTTCCACACCTGGCCATTCGTTCAACATAGGCACTGATGCGTGGAATATCCACCAGGGTGAGCAGCGGCGCGGGCGTGACCAGCACCATGCCCTTTGAGGCGCGTCGCGCGTGTGCTGCCTCGCTCTGCTTCCGCTCGGCACAGCTGGACGGCCGCACCGCCCCCATGACGCAGTTGCAGGCTCTGCCCCTACCGCGCGCATCTGACACGGCCCCGCAAAGAGGCCAGCTGCGCCAGACCCACCCTCGGTCCATGCATAGGGGTGCACCTACCCACCCCATGCATTTTGGCGCTCACGCCCACACCACCCCCGGCGTCGCCCTGCAGGCAGCTGCCAGTACGGCTACCTGGATCGGAACGTCGGCACCGGCTGGGACATTGCCGCCATTAGCGACGTCGCCCCCGACTACAGGAACTCCTGCGGGTGGGTGGTGGTGCCCCTAACTGTGCGGCAGGCCTGGGAGAACCTCCAGGCAGGAAGACCTGCACGCTGGAAGCAGTGCCACACGGAATACGCAAGCGCAAACCGGCACCGACAGGTTGCTCGGCCTTCTATCTATTTCAACCGCAGAAAGTGCAAGGAGGTCCGCTGCCGCCCCGCCAACTTTGCTGACGGCTACGGCCAGTGGCTGGACCGCAGCAGCGTTTGCTTCAACGACTACGCCTCGGTCGTTGTGATGGTCACCGACACCTGCCCTTGCCACTATCCGGTGCGCCTTGTCACACCAGCCTGGGCCCTCAGACACCGCATTCACGCCTGCCGGCCCTCGCTCAGCACGCAGGACCCTTCCATGAGTGACGCTGTCTCATGTGTACCATTCCTGAAGGCCTTGTGTTCACTGTCCCTATCCGTGCTGCCACCCTCCCTTGCATGTTGCAGGGCAATGCCTTCTCGAACAAGCGCTGGTGCTGCAATGGTGAGCTTGCGCCACGAGCCTGAATACCCCCCCTCCCCTTCGCCACCCAGCACCCCCGGCATGTCTGTCCGAGCAGTGACAGCAGGAATGCGCCCTGTCTGTGGTGGTCTGCAGCCGCCGACCCCACGCACCTTGAACGGTCTTGAAACTCTGATCCTGACTGGCATCTCCCCTGCCCCATCACTTGCTGCCTGGAACACACACGCAAGCTCCCGCCCACACATCAGAATGACCCCTCCCCCCTTCGCCCACCAACCGCCGTTCCTCCAACCCCAGACATGTACCACCTTGACCTCTCTCACTGGGCCTTTGAGAAGCTGGCCCAGACCAAGTGGGGCGTCATCGCCGTGTCTTGGAGGGACGTGCCCTGCTGGTACAAGCCCAAAAACGCGGCCAAGCTGCCGTGGTGGGCCAAGCCCACGCCGGCCCCATACTGGTACAAGGCACCCTGTGAGTCCCGGGCGCCGCCGTTGGCAGTGTTTGTGCCCCACTGATGCCGCTGGCTAGTCAGGGCGCTTGACGCTATGCAGGTCTGAGGAGCGCGGCAGCCATGGTGGCTGCATGATGCGTCCTGTGTGAGTTCCGCACGACCTTATGACACTGGCTGACCCGCACACTCCCCCCTCTTCGATCCCCCTTCCTTTTCAGGGGGCTTCAACAAGTGGATGGACAAGCGCCTGGCTAGCCTCCAGGTCAACAAGCTGGTGCGCGCCGACCCCCTGGGCTAAATTGCTCGCCCAATGCCGATGCCGCACAGCCCCCTCCGAGCAGTGGCCACTGCTGTTGCGCGCGGCGCCCAGAGATATCGGCGAGCGCACGCCGCACAAACACATCACTTTGAGACTTGGTTTTGACTGCCGTGTGGCGCTGCCCAAAGCGTAGCGGGCGTGCGTGCTCCGGCCTCATTCGATTGCGCGGCAGGGTTGGTCCCCTCCCCTTGAGCCACAATCCGGGGAGGGTCGGCCTGCTGGTGTCGCTGCGTGCGACGGGAGGGCCGCCCCTATAAACATACACTCAAACGAGCGCTTCTTTGCTGACCTGTGCGTTTGGCTCACTGCCAACGCCAGTTCACGCCGCCCCAGTTTTGGCTGCACCGCTGCCCGCGAAGAGCGCCCCCCCTGGGTGCAGGGCCGGTTGTCGGCGCGGTGCGCTGGCCCCTACAGGCTCCAAAAACTGCACGCCCAGCTTCTGCCAATTGGCCTTTGAAGCAGCTTTGCCGCATGGGGGCTTCGTGCAACTGCGCGCAAACCCCCGGCCTGCCACAACAGTAGGGCCGCCGGTTGCCGTGGGTCGACGAGGGGTGAGGGGATGTAGGGACTGTGGCCGAGGCGATCGATCGCACAAGCAGGCTTCCTCCTGCCCTTCCCTGGGCGGCGCTTCCCCTGCTTCTGCATCTGTTTTCGCCAGTGGTCCCGACTGTTGCCTGCATTCTTGGAGATGACACAACAGCATGTACCTATCTGGGCGCCGCTGCCCAAAGGGCTCTGCACTGCACCCTGGGCATCCCTGACTGCCCTGGTCAGCCCGGCTGTTGCGAGCGCCGATCGCCCGTGATGCCCGGCCTACCCATGGCTGTCTCTCTCTCTCACACTGCACCGCACCGTGACAGCGCGGGGCGCCGCGCATGGCTCCAATAAGTTTGGATTCTGAAGGTGTGGGCATGCGCATGTTCCCCTGCCCACGCACTTGTTGCGGCACCGGACTCGACGCCCCCACAGGCATGCAGGCTAGCCAGGTATGCAAGCGCGGCCTTCAAACGGCCCCAGGCAAAGGTGGGGCCCCCCACCCTGTCCTGCAGCCAGATACGTCTTCCTGCACTCTTTCTTACACATTGCCACACCTTGCGTGGAATCGGGGCGGCCATCCGGCGCCTGCACACATGGCGGCGGGTGCTGCACCTCTTGCCCCGCCTGCACAGACCAACATGTTTGCGTCCGGCGCTCTGCTGGCGCCGGCACGGCCTCATTCGTTGGGCAGCTCGCGCCTGAACGCTTTGCGGCGCTGCTGCTGGCGGCACGACGCTGCTGTCCTTTTGGGTGCAGCACTTGCCCGTGCGCCCCGGCCCCTGCCTCTGCGATCGGCCGGGGTGGGGCGCAGAGCCATGAGCGCTGCCCCCTTGCTGTCCGCGCTTGCTTTGTTAGATTATCCCTTTTGACCAGGCCCTTTTGTCTAGGACGTTTGAGTGGGTAGCCCACCCAACCTCTGTCAAAAAAGCACTGAGGGGAGGCCCGCCAAGCACGCGGCACCACCTGCCCCCGTGCGGCCTGCAACCTTGTGTGTTTGTGGCATGGGGCAGCACTGGGCGCGTGGTGTCCTTGCATGGTGGGTATGGTGCAGGCTGTCATCTGGCGTGCTGCCAGCCCTGCGCGGCCTGGCACAATACATCACCTTGGGGGTCAGAATCATCGCGCAGGCTGCGCTGAGGGGTGCCTTTTGGCGGGCGTGTATGCGCGGCCGGCGACAGTCCACTTCAAATCCTTCTGAACCTTCACTTGTAAACACATATGACGAAAATCAGGGGTGGCTGTCTCAGACTGGCTCTGGGACGGCGGGTGCGGAGCGGCAGCAAACACCTGCAAGCGCACAGTGTTGCACCCTGGGACAAGAGGGTTGAAACACGTAGAAGTATGGAAATCTGACAGCCTTATGCACCCAAAGCTCAGAGAATCTTTTCAGCTATATCGCAAGGAATGCAACCTGCTGCTATTGCAGAACTTGAGCAATGCTGATGATACTGAGATACCGTACCCCACAACTGCTACTGAGCTGCTGCACCTCTCACCAAGTATCACACATGCAAACCCCTCTGCACCGGGGACATGGAAGAGAGTTTCGAACACGTATGCAAATTTTGGTGCCCCGTACGCCCAGGGTCCCGCATACTATCGGCTGGTGAGTCCGCCTTTCCTTCTCGTGTCCATCTTGCGTTCGGCACCCCAGAGTCACTACAGGCGCTGTGATATCGCAAGAAACTGCGAGGTTACCATGTTGATGTTTCATTCGTTGCACCACCTGCGAACACAGTCCCCATGCTGGACTCTGCGGAGGTGTGCGGCCGCACGGCCACCTGGCTGCTAGGGCTCGGCCTGGCCGTCGCCTCTATAACGCCGCTCTGCTTCAGCGTACCCGTGCCCGCCAACAACCCGTTTGGAAAGTAAGTCCCCGCGGCCCCCGACAGCACTCATAGCGCGCGTGCCGCTTGGGGTTTGGCTGGCGTATGTGTGGCGTACGCCGTGGTGAGGGGCGCCGGTACACCGGCAAGCGCGCTCGCCCAACGCTCCACCGTGCACGACAAAACCGCGCCCGCAACCGTAGCGCTCGCCCCTCTGCCGCAACCTTGCTCCCTCGCAGCGACCATGTCCACATCGCTCCCCCAAGCAGCCTGTGCCTGAAGCGCGACGAGCTGGCTTGGCTCGTTTTCGACACCGCCCTCGTGCTCCTCGTGACTGCGCTCGCGCTCGCCGCGGCCTGGTGGCGCAACCTGCGGCGCCCGGCCTCCCCTGGCCCCCCGCCCGCGCCGCCGGCCGCGCCCAAGGCCCTCCCGCGGCCCCTTGCTCGCCGCAGCTACACGCCTTCAGACCTGGCGCTGCTCGCCGTCTGGTCCGCCTGGAATGTCGCCGCCCTCGCTGCGCCCCTCGCGTTCTTCGACGTGGCGAAGCCCTACTGGCTCGAGGACGCGCCGCCGGGGTCCCCGCCTCCTTCACAGGCGGCCCTGTGGACCTACGCGGTCGGCGCGGTGGCGGCATGGCCGGCCATGGGCAACTTCTTCCTCGCGACCGTGACCGGCGTGCGCGCGTCGCCGCTGTTCGACCTGCTCGGCGTGCGCGCCGAGGACGCCAGATGGGTGCACAAGCTCACGTCGCGGGCAGCGGTTGCTTGGGTGGCAGTGCACGGTGCGTCTCGCGCGGCCGCCCTCTGATTCATTACAGCAGGGCGAACATCCCGACAGGGCACTATACACTGACCTGCAACCTCCCATTCCTACCTCTGGGAGATGGGGTAGCTGGGACGACTGTACAAGCCGTCAGCTGAACCCCCTCATGATGACGCTTGCGCACCCCCCTCCCCTCCTCAGGCGTGCTGTGCCAGGCCCCCATGCTGTCCGTCTCCTACTACCTGTTCATGTGGCAGAACTGGACGTTCTCGACGCCTGCTGGCTTCTGGAACCTGAGCGGCAACCTCAGCCTGCTGGTCGGCGCCGTCATTGTGGCCACCAGCATGGCCGCCGTGCGGCACCGTGCCTACGAGGCTTTCCGTGCGGTGCACTACACGCTGTGGCTGGTGCGCGTAGGGGTGCGAAGGTTGGGGTGTGGGGCTCCTGGGGCAGCGCTGCAGCTTTGCGGGCTTTCCTTGAGACTCAGGTGATCGCCATTTCGGCATGTCGCACTGCAGCACAGCAGGTGGCAGCAGACCAGCGGCACGCGCACCTGGGACTAGCAGCAGCCACATCACATTCCCCGCCTTGCTTGTTGTCGAGGCGTCTTCTGTCCAGATTTGAGTGGATTTCAAACTAAATAGTGATGGTAATCGTAGTTCTGTGCGGTGCGCAAGTTTTACGACCGCTTCCTTGCCACTAGTCAAGCCTGACCATGGCCCAGGTGTTGCCATCTGCAACGTTTCCCTCCAACTCACCAGCTGCATTCTCACCCGGCGTATCGCACGAGCAGGTCGTCTTCTTTGCCTATTGGCACTACACGGTGTCCTGGTGGTACTTTGTGCCGGGCCTTGTGCTGTACGCAGCAGACCTCGTGCAGCGCTGGCTGTTGCTCGCGTACCCAGTGAACGCCACTGTCCAGGTGTGTATCCTGCCATTTGCCGGCCCTCACTCTTACAGTTGCTATGCTTGCTGTGTTCATGTGAGCATGTGTTCTGCATTGTGTGGGCAGTGGCTGCCGCTTCGCTGCTGCTGCTGCTGCTGCTGCTGCTGCTGTTGCTGCTGCTGCTGCTGCTGCTGCTGCTGCTGCTGCTGCGTTTAGACCTGCATTGATTATCACGCCGATTACAGATTGCCGCGGCTGCTGATGATCTGGTTGCTTCCCACATTCATGCAAACAACAACCTGCTGGTGCCTGACAGGTGGCTGCCGGCGGCAACGCCAAGAGTGGCGGCGATCGCTACCTGGTGCTATATGCTGATCTGGCTAAGCCGTGCGTGGCAGGTGAAACGCGCGTGCGCGCGTGTGTGTGTGTGTGTGTGTGTGTGTGTGTGTCAGCACGGCACGCGCGGCGTGTGTGTGCTCGCGCTTGTGTGTGTGCACATGTGTGTGCCTCGCTCTCAGCCTCCCTCTCTCCCGCAGCGGCGCGCGTCCCCAACGCTCCGCCATGCCCCAACCCAAACCAACGCGCGCCTGTGCAGGCAGCACGGTGTACCTGTGCGCGCCAACCATCTCGCGCCTGGAGTGGCACGCAATGACCATCGCGTCCACGTCACAAGGCGGCAAGCGCGCCTGCCTCGTTATCAAGGCATGCGGCGGCTGGAGCGACGCCCTCTACGCACTCGCCGATGCCGCCGATGCCCCCGGCGGCGCCGCCGAGCTGCCCCTGCTGATCGAGGGCCCCTACCCCAGCCGCGCCGCAGCCCGCGCGGTCCGCGCGGCGGCGGGCGGCGCGAGTGTCGTCCTCGTTGGCGGCGGCAGCGGCGTGACCCCGTTCACCGCGGTGCTTGAGGAGGCCCTTGCCGCCGCTGGCGCTGCAGGCGAGTCGCATGACGGCGCGGCAGCGAAGCAGCAGGGCGGCCTGATGCACAGGCTGCGGCTCGTGTGGGTGCTGCGGTCCCTAGAGGTGCGTGTAGGGGGGGTTGGGGTTTGGGTTTGAAGTTCGGATTGGGGTTGTGGCGACTGGAGGGTGGTACAGTTATGCAATGGATCCTGGCAGGAGCATGGGCGGGAGTTCTGGTGATGGATGAATCAGCGGCGCGTTGCAAGGGCTGGGTCAAGACGAGGATGCCGCCGAAAATGTGCCTTTTGCATTATGACCGCGGGAGCGACGTGTTTCGACAGCCAGGCAGCACGAAGCTGCGCACATACACACTCACGCCACTGTCGATCGAGCCCCACTGCCC